TCTTAATCGTAAACGTCCGATTCGGGTTGTAAGTTGTTCGAATGAATCGATGTTCATGGACAAACTCGTGTTGACGAGAAGGCCGACATCGCCGACTCCTCTACTGTCGCTTGTTCCGAGGTGCAGTTCTTCTTCCGTGTCATAGTCGGCGTTGAAAGGCTGGCGTATTCTCATCTCGGCCAGGCCGATGACGTCGTACCTTCTCCGTACGTCAACTCTACGTGCATTGTAGGTACAGATCGTCACCATAGTTTTTTGAAATCCAAGCAGCTTCCATTGGTCCTTAGATTTTAGCAGTCTCTCCGTACTCGATCCACCCAACGCTGCGAAATTGGGTCTCTTTCGGGCTCAGGGGAATGAGGCCCCTTTTTTTTTTTTACTATGTTTAGCATTTTTGGTACCCACGTATAACTCTCTGGGCTCTGAACGTGGGGGCTAGGTATACTCGCGGGTAGATTGCCGGGCTCTCCCAGAGTGGACATGGAGCTTATTTGTTCTAGGCGACTCCTGACCGCCTCCCATATACTTTCCTGTTGATTGCAGGCTTTTGGCCAAATTGACTCGTAGAATACAATCCGCATAGGCAAGAACGCACCCACACACGCATGCATGAATACGCCTAGCAAATGTAGGAAGTATGTGCCAAATCAGCGCAACAGAAACAAGGAATCCATCCCCTGGATCCGCCTGTGTCTCAGGGAAGCAAAAGTCGCTTTTGGTCCTCGTTTAACCCCATATCCGCCACCTAGGGACGTGCCACGTAGCCTCGCGACTAACCGGCTCGAGATCCCTCGTATGATTGAGATCCGTGGAATTTTTGGATGGAAGGAGATAATATTTGAGATTAGTAGTTGATTATGAACTGCTCACTAACGAGAGTTATTGGAAGATTTTTACCGTAATCATTTTCTATAAATGCCACATAAGTGTGACTGTACTTATTTGGATACTTGGACCGCCCGCTCTGACTGGTTGTGCTGGCCCCAGCATAAACTCTTCTTTTTCGCAGATTTTGGCCATTGTTATGCCCTGGAATCCCGAGGTCAGACTGGCCAAGATCAGCTCCAGGTTGTCACCACCAGAGACAGACCTTAGTCAACATAATACTGCATTTAATAGTTTGAAAACTCAAAGAACTGCCCAGCGTAACTGTAAGTTGACGCAAACCGCCATGAGACATAGAAGCCAGTGGGTTGTTTAAGACGTTCTTTGGGAAGAATACTTTGCTTAAGCTTTGATTTCTGAAATAGGTCTAATATTAATAAATGCCTGATATATTCTACTTTCTTGCCGTTTAGGTGCAGAAGACGATTGCGAGTGCTTTAGACCAGCCGATGATCGTACGAGAACCATTAGGAGTTGTGCTAATTATCTCACCGTGGAACTATCCTATATTTTTGGTTATACTACCACTTATACCAGCTATTGCTGCAGGTTTTTCTAAAGTTTTATGTCATATCCAGTATTCCTAACCTACTATCATTTAAATAACGGTCTAAAAGAAATTCGAGTGCATTTTTTAGTTCGGTAAGTCGGTTTGTCTAGCAGGAAATAGGGGTGTTGAACGGTTGAGAGAGTAAGCTAGTAGGTACCCACATATTTCCTCTTCCAAACGGAAACCGTTGAAATTAGGAATGTTTGTATATATATATATATATATATATATATATTTGCGTATATATGTATGTTATATACATGCATATATACGTATATATATATATATATATATATATATATATATGCATGTATGCATATAACAAGATAGCATTAATATATTGTTGATTAAAACATGTTCTAAGTAACCATGGTTATGACAATTGTAAATCCTACTTTATACATATATCAATGAGCCAAATCCAGTCTTAGGGGAATTTCTTCTCTATTCACACCCTCAGTAAAATGGACTGACGGAATTTCGCCAGTTGATACAAATCCACTCGTTGGTCCTACATTTTATTCAAGCAGTTTTGTGGACACCATGTATTTAACATCACTTAGAAGCACGTTTCCTAGGTAATACTGTAGTGATCAAACCCTCCGAAGTCGCTCCACATACCGCAGCAACGTTCGAGAAACTCTTTGCAAAATATTTCACACCGGTATGTTCTTTAACATATTCAAACATTAAGTTGTATCGGAGCAATTAATCATGATTTCAAATGTAAACATGTCGAAAATGGTTTCTGTTGAGAAATGTTTTCGAAACTTGCAATGCTTATGCTGTCGTAGTAGTAGTAGTAGAAATGGTCCTTACGGGTTTTCTTTGTTACGTATCTTCTATCCTTCAATGAATGCTATCTCAGGAGTTTCTCACAGTTGTAAACGGTGGACCTTCCGAAACCACTGAACTTCTGAAGGAACGCTTTGACCATATTCTATACACAGGATGTCCTCCGATAGGAAAAATTGTAATGACAGCAGCTGCTAAGCATCTCACACCTGTGACTTTGGAACTTGGAGGAAAGTGGTAAGTTCGCAAATAATTTTTTAGTTTCGTCCTTTCTTCAGCTGTTATTCTTTTTTGTCTTTTCTTCTCACTATAATAGATTCGTACAACAACACGTGTTAGGAATTTTCAATATTCCTTTTGCATTTTTTTATTGCAAGGGATTTCTAATTAATTGGTACTGGGACGCAACAACCATCGTATTCCACGATTTTAGTGAAGAATTCTCACTACTGGTTCGGTGGTCTTCTTGTTCTGCTTCTGAATTCTAGTGGGAACCAATCATTAAAGGCTCTAGTTCAGCCGTCATTGCTAAGATATCACATGTCTAAGCTCCTATATTTTCGATGTCGTGGTGAATATACCAGTGATTCTTCGATCGTTTAAATAAGTCAGAACTTCCAAATTCTCTGTCACACCCCCATCATACGGAGTGCTCACCTCGACATTTTCTCACTAACGAATTCAGTGACATTGATCGCTTCTTCATCCTACATATTTAGCTTCCAGATTTGTCAAATTTAGTTATTGAAAGAGGAATCGTATAGTTATAAGATTCAGTACTGGCCTAAGTGCTCTTCGATCTCTCCACTACGTCATCGGTACTATGTAAAACGTCGAAGTTGCTCATTTACTCCTCAGTTGTCCGTCGTACTCACTTTCCATTCAGATAGACATAATTGACTTATTTAGAATTACTGTTACCTTTGGACGTGAATAATGTTCTATAAGCAAACTTCTTTTTCACAACATTGTTTTTAAAGGGGCCATCAAAAGCGGTTTTTCCAGAACTTAGTTTCCTGAACATTATGAAAATCTCTTTGGTAGTAAATTTTCATGAGATCTTAGCAAAATCAGTCAATATTATTCTAACGTAACGTTACGTTGATACGAGTCGATGGTCCACAGACGGTCTTCCTCGCGATTTGGATGTTCGTTGTCTCATCGTGTGGAATGCAGTGGATGCACCAGCGCTTAAATGATAAAGGTCTTTCAACGATGCCATTTGCTATGGGCCTACGGATTTCGATTGCCTACCACTGTGATCCGTCTTTTGGCGGCAATGCACTCTGCAGCAGTTGGTATTTCATTAGTGGCACAAAGTGTAGCATTGTCTTAAAAAACGACTTTCATTAAAGCGCGGCAAGCATGAACAAAGCACTCATCAAATACATGTACTAAACAGCTAAAAATCTGTGCACAGAAGAGGAGGAAAGGAAGGAATCGCTAAACTTGGCCCAAAAAAAAATTTCAAACATAAGTATGATTTCTTCCAAGCTAACCTTCGTATCAAACAAAATAAGTTACACCGTTAAGAGGTGCATGAGAAAAAGTTCTCTAGAAAATTCAAGAGCAATTGTTGACCCTCCACTCAATATCCTACGCCGCAGTCGGCTTTATGATCATTTGTGGAGCTTAGAAAATTGTATAAATTGTCCTAACGAAAGAGGCAGGGTTTGCATGAGTTCGGGTACAGCATACTTGAGATCACATGTAAGGCATGTGGTGAAAAATACATAGGAGAAACGGGAAAAGCACTTTATGCCCTCATAGAAGAACATTTAGGTGGGAAAACCAAATATCGTCGGAGCACTCCTCTGGGTACGCATAGGGCACTAGAGCACAGTGGTGATGAAGTGACTGTCCGGATCCTAGCGCAGGAATTGAAAACATTAATTCGCAAGATGCTTGAGGCGTTTTGGACACATTTTAAAAACCGAACGATGAATCGAAAAGACGAATGCCTATCATACGTGACGTGGAGCCTTAGTTCAAATTCTTTTTTTTTACCTGGCTGGGTCTCGCTCGTCGTCCTGCGTGAACAACACGGCGAGTTCCACTCGCAACAGCACGCTAAATAGTTTTAAGAAAAATGACGTTCATTTATATGTTAGATCTTTATTAGTGCTGTAGATATTTTTCGGAAAAGGCTATTGTAACATGAAATACGTCCAGGCTCCAAAAAAGTCCGAAACGTTAGTCATCGAACAATAACAACAACAGCGACAGGTTGTAGCAGCTTCGCATCAGCCCAACAAAGCCAGTTCGTAAGAACATACTTAATAGTAATGTCATAGCTAAAGCGAAGGTAGTATAGTTGTCGGCCATCAACTTCTGCTATCATCTCATCTTATTCTTGAAAATTTTGAGAGTGGGACTTGGTGGTTTTAGAAGCGTAATATAGCTTTTTGAATCCCCTTCTTGTATCAGTGATAATATCATAGAATGTTGAAGCTTGTTTTTAGGCGGAATCTTTTTTATTTATTAAAGAAGGACAAGTTAGTTATCAAGAGCTTCTATCGCCGTTTCTGTTCCGAGCATAACAGTTTCTTTAAGTTCATAACACAGGGAAAGTGTTATCTTATACATTGGCAACGTTTTTTAGATTCCATTATGATAAGTATATTATTCGCCGTGAAAAACATTTTTTCAAGCGTTTCTCGTATGGCTGTAATTCATTCGATGTGTTGTCCTTTTGACGACAACCTCAGTGGAGAGTTTAAACACGACATGCAGCGTGCAAGCTGACCCATAGCTATCACCGTGGTGTCGCTATCTCTTTTTAGCCAACAACATGGTCTCCTTTCTTTATAATGTTTTTCTAGATTTTTTGTGTTTGCGCAGGTATCAAGTGAGAAACCTAGGACATCGCAATGGAAACTTCCTACGATAGTTTGCGTGCACATAGTATGGATTTCCATCACATGGTTCCTTTCGGATTTGGGCAGTATAGAGTGGTCCTGGTATTTTTTATATGTATTGGAGCGTGTGTAACGCATTGGTTTGAGGCGCCCTGCAATACATATGAGGTCGATCATTGCGCCCTAGGCTCACCAAGCCTTCCATCGCTCTGGGGTCGGAGGGTTCGCACCATACTTTTCTGGTAGGATAGCACTACCGGCTCGATACATCGGTAGGCCACCGTAAGTCATTGTAAAGGCCAGATGTGCATTTATTCACCTCCAACGATGTTTAATGAAGTCGAACGTATGATGCATCCCTCAGAGATTGATCAACGCCGAGAGCTTTATTCTTTATAGTTTTTATTCAACCAACGCTGCTGATCGGGAACTGTTCCAAAGTTGGAGAAGACTTGTTCTTTTTTTCTGCTGTTTGTGGAAGGAATGATCAATGGATTGCTGGCCGAGTTAGACGAGAAGCTCATTTCTTGGAGGTGGCTTCTTACTGCTTCTCATATGCTTCCCATTCGCTTGATTGTAGGCGTTTGGTCGATTTCATGTGCGCAAAATACAATCTGTTTATAAGTGAGCACACTCGCTTAAGCATATCTGATTGCATAACGAACGTAAAAAGCAGTGAAATTATGTCATTCCTTGAATACACCTGTGTCTGAGGACAAATGCAGGGTCACATTTTGTAACTCGTAGTCACCATATGAGGACGTCCAATTCAGCCTTGCAACTAAGAACAGTGAATACCTCAACGAGGCAGATCCGTGAACTTAGATAGTTTTCGAAGGTTCGATTGCTTCGAAATTTTTTGTAATTAGTAGGAATTAGGTCCAACAACATTTTCACTTTCAAATAAATAGGTGATTATTCCCAATCCATTTTCTCGGGAGATTTTGGTTGTGTACTGTGAAATTCTTATACTCTCTATTATTTTCTGTTTATTTCCACTCACATTCACTGTTAAAAGCTGGTCTTCTTTGAAACATTGCTTTTCAGTCCGGTAGTTGTTGAAGATGACACTATTATGGATCTCACAGCTCGTCGTATTGCTTGGGGGAAGTGGGCAAATTGCGGTCAGACATGTCTCGCACCGGATTACGTTCTTGTTTCTGAATCCACCAAACCCAAGGTGATTACTCTTGATAGGTTTCAGTTCTATTAAACTGTTTCTGGCTTACTGTTTAATGACGATGGTGGTTACGGCATGAAAGGTTGACAAATATGGCTAACGTAGATTTTGTTTAATGAACTATGCTTCAGTCTACACGCACTCCCTCTAATTAAACGGGAATCGATTAGTCTCTAATCTAAATGGGAACTTGAGGGAGGGTAGAGTCGACCACCTTTTAATAACATTCATGAAGAAGAAGAAAATACTCAAGCAGTAGTCCAATCCCTATGTGAAAAGAAACTTTCGTGTATAAGTGATGTGAGGAAACCAGTAGAATGTGGGAAGTGCTGTGATCCGCAGTACGTGCGAAGTCGAGTCGAGTGAAGAAATACGGTAGAAGTAAAACAGTGCAAAGTGCTGTCATAGGCTTCAAGTGGTTGAATTTTTTCTTTTAGCTCGTCGAAGCTCTGCGACAATCCATAGCAGAATTTTATGGCAGCGATATAAAATCCAGCAAGGACTATTCTAGAATCATCAATAAGCGACATCATGAGTAGGTCATTTGAAGTTATACCAAATACAAATAAAGCAAAAGCCGATGAACATCATTCAAACAAAAATTACATTGAGGGTAAATCTAGCTACCGTTACGATATGTTGAAAAACGAGTTGTAACTTTATGTTGGAGTAATTTGAGTGTGATTGCTTACAGTCGCATCAGTTCACTTCTGGATTCCTCCCGTGGAACCATTCTATTTCAAGGAGGTGATCGAGATCGAGATGATCTTTTTATCCCACCGGTTATAATTGATGTTAAAAGAGATGATCCCTTTATGAAAGATGAGGCAAGGTCTATTTCCTAGCGATTTCAAATCATTTTCTTATATTCATCTTAGAACAAATTTAAGAGATTTTTCCAGATCTTTGGTCCGGTGCTGCCTTTGCTGACAATTCGTGATTTGAACGAAGCCATTGACTACATTAATAGTGGTGAAAAGCCACTGGCTGCCTATATTTTTACCCAAAGCGAGTCCAAAGCGCAGCGTTTCTACAATGAGACGAGCAGTGGAGCTGTCACAATCAATGATGTGATTATGCACATTACTGGTAAGTCATTAACAACAATAAAAATTCATTGCAATGTAACGATTAACAAGATTGGTGTAGCGCAGTGGTTAGAGATGCCCTCGAACAAACTCTTATCCACGCCCTGGCGAATCACGTCCTTCATCTTTGTGAAGCCAGTCAACAAAGTGGTACCAGACTTGTCTGGGAAGATAAAACGGAGACATGGTACTTCGGCCCCACAGGTTAATGTATAGACCAAATATGTATTCACTCTTCTTCACACCGCTCAGTGTGTTCTAATGCATGGTGCATCTCTAAGGGATTGGTCAACATCGAATGCATGATCCCATTTCCTATCGTAGTTAAATAAAAGTCGAGTAATATAGCCATATGAAATTTATGACTGCTGTGGGCAAGGTTTTTTTAATGGTTCTTTTCATTAGTTGATTCCTATTATTACAGTTGATACGCTGCCATTTGGTGGTGTTGGTTCGTCAGGAATGGGTCGATACCGAGGGAAATTTGGTTTTGATACTTTCACCCATGAAAAAGCGGTGCTGAAACGAGGTTTCTTTGGAGAAACACTTCTGAAGTAGGTTATTCTATGAATTCCGAGGAGAAAGATGTAGCTGTTACTATATTTTGGTGACAAATTTTCATTTAATTGATCTATCTGGCTCACCTAACTCCACGAAACATGCGGACTTTAATGTAGTTAGAGTTTGTAGTCCTCTCATCCTCTTATTGCCTTTCAAAGAGGTTTTCTTCTTCGTTAACAAATGTATTCGAATTAGAGAACTTATTTCTCATGTCGAGACCAATTGGAAATGGTGTTAATTTAAATGAGGTTTATGCAAGATTGCTTGCTTCTAGAACTTTAGAACCTTTGCAGAACTTAGCCTTCCTAGGTTACACCTACTACTATTGGGATCCATTGTTTTCCCTATCCATCTTCTCTCTATATTTTTCGTTACATAAATTGCCTATTTGTTCTGCGCATGAGTTCCGTATTTCACTACATAACGCTAATTACACAGTTGGGACAGACTAAAATAAGTAGAGGAACTAGCAATTTCAATAAAGCGAGGCCTTGAAATCGCTACCGGTCGACTCGTTTACTTTGAGAAGGTCGAAAATATTCCACAGTGGTTCTTCTCTAGTAAGAGACTTGGTATTATAGGGTTTGTGATAAGGAAAGGCTGGGGTGGGAATTTTTCTTTTTTTTCAATTCAGTGTCATGAGACGTGAAGAGAAGGTCATTTCTTCTTTGCTCCGCAACTTCGATTGAAAATCACACGTTCACCGTTATCTCTACTGTGTTTCATCGTATTGTTCTCTTTTCTAATAGTTTTTCTCTTTCATTTCTTTTCTTTTCTTTCTTTTTCTTTTCCTGTATTTCTTCAACTCTAACAATTTTCGTTGCATTATTGCATTCTTCTAATGGTCTTTTGCGAATGCTATTGATATCGAGACTTGCATGATATGTCGCAGAAAGATTTTCCAAGAAGTTCTTCCTTATTTTACAGTTGAATCGAACTTTTCCTTAGACGAAGCGGTACTTGTATCCACTCTAATGGTAATATTAGCATGAGATTAAGTAAAAACACGTTTCTACTTGTAAGAGTGTAGTTAGGAGGCGAATAGCACAGTGGTGGTGATTTCTGTAATCACGAGCATGGTGCTAGTTTGATTCCGCTCCCAACCAACCAAGCTTGTCATCACCCAGGGGTCTGGAAATTGGTACTGGGCTTCTCTAGGAAAAAAAATCGCTCTCTGCAATTCAGCTGGGAGCGCCCCAGCCCGACTATCTCAGGACTCCAGGGAGAATTGCTCGCTCAGCATTCTACCACATTCAAGATGAAATGGAAATCCTCAAGCAGCAACCGAACCCACATGTACATCGTGGGAATGGATGCGAGGAAACGAATCGAATGTGGGAAGTGCTGGGATCCGCACAATAGACGTGAAGACGGATCAAATAAAATAAGATAAAAAAGAGTGCAGTTCACGGATCCGTTCAGAAATCCAGCTATGAGTAAACTTACGTCAGGTTCTTCTCGAAAACACCAGTATGGTGCTCATTCCAAAAGCGTAGTTCTTTGTTTTCTCTGAAAAGTGGAATCCACTGGGCTCCTGTGCGAAGAGTTGTAACTAGCCTGCTCGAGTTACTTGACAATTAAGAGATTACAGGTGGTAGAGATGAACGATCTAGTCAATTAACATCGTGTTCACTATCGCATCAGACATATATTCAATTGTAACTCGAAAGACCGACTTTCTATGAACCTCGGCATAAATAGTTGATATATTTATTATATTCAATTGTAGTTCTATTTCTTTTCAAACTGTAAATACCTTTTATATAGCTTTTCTCTAGACATAAAGTCACCATGACTTTTAAGTTTTCGTCTTGAAAAAGTTAGTTAGTTTGCGGGAACTGCTTTCAAGATTATTTACCGTTTCTAGTCATATAAAGTATGGTTTACTCTAGCTGTTCGTTAGCTGTCCAAGTTATGTTTATTTCGGACCAACTTAATTCGTTATACCAACCTTTGATGTTTTGTACTCACGCACTGATCCTTCCACTTACCATGGTAAATTTTTGATCATACTTTTTTTTATAAATATTATTTGAATCACTTTAAGTGCTCGCTATCCCCCAGTCTCGGAGCAGAAGTTGAAGCAGCTGGCTCGTCTGATTGGCACTCGTCGAGCGCTTCCTTCGGTGTTCGGTTTTCTGTCCAGCATTCCGGTAATTGTCATCTCTGTGGTTGTTGGAATGTTTTTGCAGGCAAGTTGCTATATGAGACCCTCGCTTAATAATTAATCGATTTCTTATTAACACTCTTGCGACGGTTGACACCTATAGGCGTCATAATGGTTTTGCAGGAGTGGCCGGTAAGACACCTATGAATGTCGTTTCATTTCTGGTATTTGTTTTGGTGCACAGAAGTTTTTTCTCTATAATTCTTGGATTCAATCGGTAGCATGTGCAACTCAGATGCTATGGCGAGCATCGTTCATGGGAGGGTGCCCGCTTAATAATTTTTCACTAATTTCTCATTTTGCGGAGAGACACTATTGCTGTCAAAAAAAGCGTGCGACCCAGAGAATGCAGTTGGTGAAGAGGCGCAGAAATGTCTCTGCGTCGAAGAATTGACAAGGCATGGTGTGTGGAGTATTATTTTTGATATGCAGTTCGTTTTCTACTTTCCATTTTCTATGATGATTCTTAAGAGCGCGCGTGGCGTTCGGGAGCGCCCTGCAACACACACGTGGAATCGCTCGCTGCGCCCATGGCCCACCGAGCCCTCCATCTCTCCGAGCTCTGCAAATTGACACCAGATCTGTCTGGGAAGATAGTAGCACTGGCTCGACACGTCGGTAGGCCATCGCGAATCATTGTAAAGACCAGACATGCATTCAATCACCTCCAACGATGCTTAATGAAATCGAATGCATGGCGCATCCCTCAGGGATTGATCAACGCCGAAAGCTTTATCCTTTAGCTTTTTTATGATCTCTTGAGGGCTAAAAATAAAAGGTCAAAACTAAAAGGTTAACATCGTAGTATTCCTTGAAATTATACAACTTCATTAAAAGCTTAACAGCAACACGATTCCACAATGGACGAATGTTTTCTTCATACGCAAGTTTTTTATGCACAAATAACATGGGAGGGTGTATAGATGCACATGGAGCATACACAGGAGAAGAGGAGCTCAGAATTTTCTTCGAAAACGCGGAGGAGAACCTGAAATCACAACAAAGGGGTACAGGTGTCCACAAAAACTATTAGAGTGACCGGTGTGACAAGTATTGGTTGCGACATTCAGCTTAGCGAAAAATGAGGCGTCGTCTACTCCGCAAGGACACGAAATTAGGCGCCGTCGCGAGAGCGTTAACACCAAACCAGAGTTTGTCTATAACAACTCTAAAGTCTGGCATCACCCTTCACCGGCGTTTAAATCTACATGTAGAAATGAGTGTGAAGAGCATTCCTTCTCACGCTACGAATCGTTTTTTTAGACTTTATCCGTGCAGTTTTTCAAACACTTTCTATTATTAAACTGTTAATGTAACTATGTTATTATGTGCAAAGGAATGTGGTATCCGTTATCATCCTAATTTTGGAAAATTTTTTGTATCCGAAAAGTTTACGAACCCACTTTAATATCGCACAGGGTTCGGCGTGCTGTCATTGATGTAACTTGGAGTTGGAATTCTTTGACACTTCATGGTTGCGTGTTAGATTCGTATTCGTTCTCTACAAAAATGGAAACGCTGGATTCTAAGCGCAATAACCTATATCATATAGCACTTGCCACAATATATAGCGTTTTTGTAAATACTTCTCAAAGCCAAGAGCTGTCTTCTTTACAGTGAAGACACGTTGATGTTAGTTTCTTTTCAGTTCTACTTTTCCAGCAGAAAATAGATAGCAGCTTCATGTGAGTTGAAATGTGCAGTGTGTTTGTTCTCTGCTCTCCTACCTTTCATGTATAGAACTTCTTCATATTCTATCACTCTTCTAATTTTCATGACGTTTAAGCATTGCGACACATCATTGTGTTTTTAGAAGCACCGACAACAACGATGAAGAGATCGTGCGAAAAAGAATTAGCCTGCTTAATCCGCATTTCTTTATGTTAGTGGCAATACTTCGCTAAGGAACTAGTCTCGTCCAGTTCAGCTTACTTGTTGGAGCGAAAGCATTAAATCATTTTAACACGTAATTATGGGCTTGTAAATGCTGTATTTGTACCGCATTATTTCAGTTTTATACATGTGGTATACTGTAAGTATAAGTTCCATGAACATTTAATAATGTTTTTGCTCCTCCCTTAGCCAAGGGCACACCGCTAACACGTACGAAGCAATGCGCATTGAATTTAATTCTAAAGTTTTCGAATAAAATTAGTTTCTTTGAACAATTAAAAAAAAGTTTTACTTAACCAAATATAGTCCAGATCCACTTATGAGCAAACACGAGGTCGATATTACAGAATTTATGATTAACACAGAATCTCAGCCAAACATTTTCATAGCCTTAGCAGACGAAATTTAATACATAGGTTTTCATCCGCGTAACAGGCAGCTTCTATTAAACACCCACCGTTTTATTCAATGTAAGTTTTCCAGTTAATTTGGTAGAGATCAACAGCGACTTACATGGGCAAGGACTGTGCCTGGCTCAGGTCAGAGAATCAGCCTGAGGCAGGGCGCTAGGTCATGCGTGATCACAAGACAAATTCGCTAACAGTGATTCAATTACCACCGTACACCCTAGGACGCCTGTTAGTGCGTAACTCTCTTTATCACCATCTGTGCATAACGGAAACTTGCATTATATACCTTAACGATAGAAACAGTGATTGCATGAGTTCAGGTAGTGTATCTGATCTCTTGTAAAGCATATGGTAACGAATACGTTGACGAAACGGGTAGATCTCTCTGTTTCCGTATAAAAAAAACACCTAGTCGGTAAATTTAAATTGAAATCAAACTCTCCTCTGGGTGCACATAAGATATAGAAACATAACGGATATTTTGAAGTAAAACACTGCTTGCAAAGGAATCTGAAGCATCAGCGCAT